ACAACTGTGAGTACACATCTCAGAATCACCTTGTCTACTTACAAATACAGATTTCTGGGCCCTACTGGACACTGAGAGTTGCTGACTCAGTAGATCTGGAATCTGAATTTCTATCAGGTCCCACCCAGGTGACAGTGATGTTGGTGTGGGGACTGATGTGGTTTTTGGAGTTAGTGCGGGGTCCTTGAGTTCACTCTGGGGAAGGATTCACCAGAGGTTCCCTTTCAGCAGCACACAGCTAGTTTCCTGGCGAGTTTCTCCACAAGACAGAGAAGGTAGTTATATTTAAAGGGCAGGATTATTAGGGAAAGGGACAGAAAAGTAAAGTACACTTGCATAGACGCAAGCGGGCAGGAAGAGCTGCCTCACAAGGGGCAGGTTTGCTGAGAGAGGCCTGCATGGTTGCAGGCGGATGGCCTTGAGGAGAGCTGCCTCCGATGAGGGAGGTCAGTGAAGAGAAGCCCTGGCATGGTGCAGGTCACAGGCAGGCAGGAAGCTGCTGCCCTGCGGAGGGAGAGAGTTGGTAAAAAGAAGCGCCTGCATAGGCACAGGTGGACAGACGGTTTGCTCCCCAAGCCTGTGCAGAGACTGAACTGATATAGTCGAGGGGCTCACTCCTTGTGAGCCTTGGTTAGTTGCTGATTTGGGATAACTATGCAGAATCTGAAAGAGATCTAAGATTCCACAATGGGCTCAATCTCCATATCTTTACCTTTGGGGTCTGTTGGGCTCAATCTCCTTATCTTTACCCTTGGGCCTGTGCTCTAGACACTCCCTACAGCAGTCTGATACCTGCTTGGATCTTATGCTTTGTTATTAGGCGTTGGGCCTAAGGATCTTGGTTTCCATAGCTGTGTCAATGGCTATGCTAATCTCTTCTACCCCCACCTCCTCTGTGAGCCAGGTTTCTGGTCATGTGGGGCCTCATTTGCAGTTTTTTCTATTCCTGTCCTCCATCAGGGACTACATTTTCAGAACTATAGGATTAGGGATTATAGTTGGAAGATGCACTGATGAGATGAATTCTAATAGGCACCAGCTCTGCCTAGGCTGATTGCCAACTTCTAGAACAGAGTACAGGGAAAAGATTTTCCAGGTACTTCTTTTTATGTGACTCTTTGGCTCTATTTTTTTTTTTAAAAAAGGGTATCACAGAGCTACCCAGAACCAAAGTACTGGTGCTGTTGTCACTGAGTTCACATTGTACACAAATTAGGGAACTCTAAAAAAGGCTGGCTGTAAAACAATCTCTCTCCTTGTTTGTGTGTGGGAATCCAGTAAATGTGCAGTGCCCACAGCAAAGTGCTCTGTAAGTACAGTCCTTACTGGTACCAACTTGTAGCTTGGCAATTACTGAATTCTAGGTGAACACATCATAGTTTAGCCAATATCACTCCTTTCTGGTGGGTGTTAACCAGTGAGTTCTGGGAACTAGTCTTGAGAGATGAAGCTAAGTTATGATGGACAGGCTTTTCTTTTTTGTAATTTACCCATTTTCCTTCTCATATCCTTTTTGGGACATTAATTGATTGGTGTAGGGTTTGTTATAGAAGAAGCCACTGGCATTAAAAGGAAAGGCGGGAGTGGAATAGTCAGACCTGGGAGAGTGAATAGAATGGAGCTTACCTCCGACAGCTGGTTTTTAAAATTCAGCTGAAGAAAGAAGGCTGGAGTCTTCTTATCTGTGAGCTTCAGGATATGGAATGTTTTAATGAATGAGATGCTGCTTTTGTGATTTGCTCATGGAAATTCTTTTCATAGCCACACAACTAGGAAGATGAAAAAAAGAAGTTTCTGATCCTACTCTCCCATACAAATCAGATTTGGTGCTTTTTCATGCTGGCCTTGGAGCCTTTGGGAGGATGCTCTTGAGGGGCTGACAGGAAGGCTGGAATTCACCAATAGTCACCGTTTCTCCACAGCACCCCATCCCACTCCCCCAAGATGCTGCCCGCCTTTTCATCTCTGCAATGTGGGGGCCTCCAGACTTATGGAAAATACCACTGCTCTGTGGTCTGTCCTGGGGATCACTGTTGCAACATATTTCTGATTGAAATTGACTTAGTCACGCTGGTCATATAAGAAACATGATGGCAGTTAGGAGCCAGGCTGACCAGTTGCCCAAAGATTGAGAAATCAGGGATGAAGTTTTGAAATCAAAACTTTCAATCACTCCTTTTTCAACCCGGCCAAAGCACACTTTTTGCATTGGGTCTCCTTTCTTCCCATGGGGCCTGGGAGGACTCAGAAGAAGGTGAAGACACTGGATAAGCTAAGATCTGGCTCCTCCTTTGTCTTCTGGAGGATTCCTGCTTATCCTGCGAGATTCAGTTTTAGGATCATCTTCCCTATCTTGTCTGAGGAGCCCTTCCTGGCCTCCCTGTTTGGGCTGGTTCCTTCCATTTTTGAGCTTCTAGAGTACACCTTGATCACAGCACTTTTCATGTTGCTCAAGTTATCTGGTTATTTGTCTGTTTTTGTTTTTTTAACCATATGCCCCTTTACATATTTTAAGACACTTTATCTTAACTTTCTGAGTGTTTACCAAATACTAACCCAATTTAATCTCTATTTCTTATTAGTCCTGTTTTTTCAGATTTATTGATATATAATTGACATATAACATCTAATTTTGGAAAATGTTATTAAAATTATGTTTATTGATACAATGTTGATTTATAGCACTTTATGTTTCAGGTATATAGGTCCACACCTCTACAGATGTGTGTTATAACCACCACTACCAAAGTCCCAGTAAACTTCTACCATACCCCACCGAGCCCCATCCCCCTCCCCACCCCTGCCTTCTGGTAAGATGCACAACACAATGTCTTGACTCACATATCTATCACAAAATGATTACAAAAAGTTCGTTTGCATCTCCATAACCTTTCAATAATTACCTTTTAAATTAACTTTTTAAAATATTAAGAATATTTAAGATCTACTCATACAGCAAAATACAGTTTTGCAAACTGTGGTCCCCATGCTGTATATTAGATTTTCAGAACCTGTTCATCTTCTAACTGGAAGTTTAGACTTTTCCATCAGCTTCTCCCCATTGTCTCCACTACTCCCTCCCCCACCTCAGCCTTTGTTAACTAACTTTCTACTCTCTGTTTCTATGAGCGTGGATTTTTTAGATTCTATATATAAATGAGATTTTATGGTTTTGTATTTCCCTGTCTTAACTTATTTCACTTAGCATAATAAGCCTTCAAGGTCCTACATGTGATTGCCAATGGTAGAATTTCCTTCTTTTCTTATGTCTGAGTAACATGCCTTTGCATATATGCCACATTTTCTTTATTTATCCACCCATCCATCCTTTGTTGTATGCTTAGGTTGATTCTGCACCTGGGCTATTGTGAACAATGCTGCATTGAACATCAGGGTGCAGATATCATTTCAAGATATAGTGACTTCATTTCCTTCAATTACAGCTCCTGATGAGGGATTGCTGCTTCACATGGTAGTTCTGTTTTTAATTTTTAGAGGTACTTCCATATTGTTTTCCGTAGTGGCTGTACCAATTTACATTTCTACCAGCTGCAAAAGAGGGTTCCTATTTCTCCTGTGGAGCCTCCCTCCCTCAAATCAATAAGACAAGGGGGTCTAATCTTACCACTGTATTCAACAGAGTACTAGAGGTCCTTGCTAGAGCAATTAGTCAAGGTAAATAAATATAAAGCATTTGAAAAAGAAGGGAGGAAGTAAAATTGTCTCTGCAGATGCTCTAATCACATAGAAAATCCACTAACAAGCTGTTAGAACTGATAAATTCAGTAAAGTTGTAGGATATAAAATTGACATAAAAAAATCAGTTACATTTCTATACACTAACAACACAATGTCTAGAGAAGGAATAAACCAATTCCATTTATAATAACATAAAAAGCAATAAAACAGTTAGGAATAATTTAACCTAGGTTGTAAAAGATCTGTGTGCTGACAACTATAAGACTTGGATGAAAGAAATAAAAGAATGCAAACAAATGGAACGATACTGTGTTTATGGATTAGGAGAAATGATATTGTTAAAATATCCACTTTACCCAATGCCATCTACATATTCAAAGCAAACTCTACCAAAACCCCAATGGCATTGTTTCATGCAAATAGAAGAAAACAATTCTAAAATTTATCCGAAATCACAAAAGACCTCAAGTAGCCAAAGTTATCTTGAGAAAGAACAAAGTTGGAGGTATCACACTTCCTGATTTCAAAGTAGTATGGCATTAACATAAAAAAGAGACACACAGCATAATGGAACTGAATTGAGGGCCCAAAAGTAAACCCTAGTATACATAGTCAATAAATATTTGACAAGGGATCCAGGAGTACACAATGGGGAAAGGAAAGTATCTTCAATAAATGGTGTTGGGGAAACTCCACATTCACATGCAGAAGAATTAACTTGGACTCCTATGTTACACCAGGCAAAACATGTACTTCAAGAGGATTAAAAATTTAACTGCAAGATCCAAAACTGTAAGACTGCTAGTGGAAAACTTAGAGAATAATCTCCTTGATTGATCTTGGCAATGGTTTCTTGGCTATGACACCAACACAAGCTAAAAAGAAAAAGAAATCACAAAAAGCAATCAAGTGGGATAACATCAAACTAAAACTTCTGCAAAGTAAAAGAACACAATCAAACAAAAAAGCAACCTACAGAATCAGGGAAAATATGTACAAACCATATATCTGATAAGGGGTTAATATTCAAAATATACAAAGAACTCATACAACTCAACAGAAAAAAAAAACCCACAAATAAGGAAAACCATATAATCTTATTGAAAAGATGGGCAGAGGACATCTGCTAAGGAAGACAAACAAATGACCAACATGTATGTGGAAAGTGACCCAGCATCACTAATTGTCAGGGCAATCAGCTGAGCTGTGCTGACTTGGGGGAGGGGTGACATGGTAAAGTGAAACTGGTCCTCTTATTCTCTTCAATTGTCCAATCTTGGATTTATTTCCCCCTCCAACAGTCTGCTGGGACTTTTCTCCTGGACTCCTGGACTTCAACAAAGGCCTCATTGTCTGTGGGTGATTGTCAAAATTGGTGTTCTTTGAGAAAAAGACAGTAGAGAACTATTTCAACCTGATGATGTCTCTCCTCATTTAATCTTCATAACAACACCGTGAGGTAGGTAATTTTATTGCACCCATTTTATAAGAGAAAACTGACTCAAAACAAAGAGTTCATGAGGTTGCCCATGACCACAGATCTCATACGTGGCAGAACCTGTATTCACGACCAGCTAGCTGCTTTACCTCCAGTCTTAGTCAATGGCTTATGCTGCATTTATATTTTATTCACCATTTATTCCTACTTTCTTACATCAGGCCTGGCACAAGGTAAAACTTTAACAACTAATTCATAAGAGAAAACATGTGGTTAGCTTTTTTGGAAGGGAGAAGAATGAATAATTTTTTTGGACCCAATGCATACGTATTCTACGTAATGGAATCTACACAGTACAATTTTATTATGTTATTTGTCTCTGAACTTATTTTCCTAACCAAAAGTTGTCTGTGCGTGTATGTGAGGTTGTAGTTTATTGTCAAGTGTTTCTCTTGGTGTTATTATGCACTAGTGTACTTTAGCTCTAAAAAGGGAGAGTGATGCTGTTCCCCCCACATTTAAGCAATGAAAACCAGCCCCTGTATTGCACCCCCTCTGCCATGAGCCCTTTAACCTCTCTTGAATGTACTTTACAAAGAGGGTTGTTAATTCATTTGTAGTCTCTTTTCCTGCATTTAATTTGTTTTCTTTTTTTTTTTAATAAATTTTATTTTTATATTCCCCATACAATTGCAACCCCCTTATTTTGACCCCAATCCCTCCCCTCCCCGCTCCCCACCCCCATAGAGTGTCTCTGGTTCGTAGTTTTTTTGTTGATTTTGATTTTCACTTTCTTATAGTTACTCATTTTCCTGGTCCCTTTTTTAAGTTTTCTAGATTCCTGCTATGAGTGAGACCATCCGGTATTTTTCTTTCTCTTTCTGGAATATTTTGCTGAGCATGATCCCTTCCAGCGCCATCCATGTTGCTGCAAATTGCATGTGTTTATCTTTTTTGAATGCTGAGTAATATTCCTTGGTGTATATGTACCACATCTTCTTGATCCAGTCATCTATTTTTGGGCATTTGGGTTGTTTCCAAAGCTTAGCTATTGTAAATAGTGCTGCTATAAACATAAGGGTGCAGGTGCTCTTTGGAATTGATGTTTCTGTGTCCTTTTAATTTGTTTTCTAAGAAACTACCTTAATCTATAATTTCTAACCAAAAAAATAAGGTGTAAACTAAGGGCCTTCACCTGTCTCAATGAAACATGCACAGAGGATCAGGTGGAGCTTCAGAGACTGGCAAGATAGTTGACTAGACCTAGCAGTGTCAGCCACTAGAATGGCTCTGAAGCGTCATATTCTATATGTAGCTCTTCACTCAGGAGAAATCAGAGGGCCTCTTTAACTACCTCCAGGAGCAAAGAAAAGGACCAAGGACAAAAGTATTGGGAGCCAGATTCACTCACTACAGCAACCTGTACAGTGTGAAAAGGGTAGGCGGGAACCCATGATAGGCAGCAGGCTGGGTTTGGATTCCAAAGTCACGAAGGGTGCTATGAGCCTGGTACTCACCGTCCCAAATAAGCCTGGCCCTTATTGGAATTCTGGACATGAGCTCTTTAACTTTTGAGAAAAGAATCATGCAGTGGGGTGTAAAGTCACCAAGGACACTTGTGGAGGATCATGCTTTGGCAAAGTCTAACCTGAGCTGCCTGGTGATCATTAAGTAATAACCCAACACCTTCTCCCCACACAGCCACATTTGCTTCATTGGAGCTCTGCAGTTTTCAGATAAGTACATAACTATTTATTTGCATTTTGTAATAAATAATATTTTTATTAATATCTTTATTATTTGTTCTATAGTCCAAATGATCAAGCAAACCCATAATTCTTAGTAATATATAAGTTAGGATTTCAGGAACACCATTGGGATGATCATATAATATTCCCTTGTCACACTATCACACATATTTAGTTGGATCTATGTTTTTCAGAATGCATTCACAGTATTGAATGCTATGTCATGTATTGTGCTAAGCTGTTTATTTTATTTGACTTAATTGTCAAGAGTCAAAGTAGGAACTACAAGGTTGAAGTTGGAACTAGGAATTAAAATACAGGTGTTAGTGAAAGAACTCATGGACTCCTTTTTGTAGGGTTAGAATTGCTAGGCAAAAACTGCATGCCTACTTAGTATCAAATACTCAGTGAGTGCCTTCAGTAGCACTGATTAAGAAAATGAGAAAAAAAAACCCCATACTTCCTCCATGACTGACTGGGTAGTTGGTTATTCAGTAATAACCTTTGGGTACCACTTAGGACTTATAATCAACTGAAAACATCAATTATTTAAACTACAGTTGTTTATATTTTTCTCACAAAATGTGAAATCTGGATATAGTCAGTCCAGGGCTGGAAGGGCAGCTCCAAGATGTCACCAGCTCTTTCTTTCTTGCTGCTCCATCACTCAGTGCATACTTGTCTCACGGCTACAAGGTGGCTGCCATTCTCCAGCCATTCCATTTTATTTCTGGTGGGAAGAAGAGGACATGAGAAAGGAACATGTCTTCTGAGTCAGCTCCTCTTTGATGGAGTATCCCCAGTATACTTGCCTATGAACTTCCCTTTGTTTCTTATTGCCTGTATTTGTGTCATATCTTCACCACTAAATACAAAGGTGATTGAAAAATGCTGTGTTTTGGGAAAGGGGATGTTCCTGTCATGAATGGAGAGACATGGCAGCATCTTTGGGCACTGTCTACTGTCTACTGCTTCTGTAGTCTCTGGAAATTCTCTGGAAATTCTGGCATGGGAGCAGAGCTGGGGTAGCATAGGTGGACCCACATCTGTCCATGCATTGTGGGTAGAGGGACATTTGGCAGCTCAGAGGCCAGGTCACACATACTGGTAGTGGCAGAAGCTGGAAACAGTATCTTGGTCCTTTCATGGCCTTTCTTCTCTTACCATGCTTCATTCGAGAGCTCAAACTCCAAAACTGATTGCTCACTGAGCATCTGAGTGGATGACTCCAGCACCACTCAAGGTTCTTTCTAGAACCAGATGATCTCCAAGTGACTCGCAGGGCATTTACATCTGTAGGGTTTAAGAATGGAAAATTTCCAGGGATGATTTTTACTCACCACCCTCTTGACTAAAGCAAAATAGGAAAGATCCTTCTAGAGACCATGGAACCACCATCTGTCTCTTCTACAATCATAGACTGTTGTTGGAATATGGGTAGAGGGAAAATTCCTTAAATTGTTAAGTAGATATTTTTTGAATAGACACAAACAAACAAAAAACCCCAACCTGACCCAAGTGTGTACTGATAGAACTTCATTTTTGAGGTGAGGCAGACAGACTTTAATAAAATAATGAATCAGAGTCATAAAAATAAAGTTTTAACCCATCTTTGGGGACGACTCTATCTAGAAACTCTCTCTATAGTCACTAGGGCATTTAATCCATGCAACAAAACTTGGAGGCAGTTGTCACTGCCTTTTTACAACTGAAGAGACTGACTTATATAAAAGGGTGAGTGACTTAACTTGAGTGGCTGAACTGAGTCCGAGCTAGTATTATTAATCCTGTATTATTCCCACTACACGATGCAAACCTCATGATGTACTTTCAGCCTTTTTAGTGCAACTAGAAATAGACTGGGATTGGGAGAATTCAAACGGTCTGGTCAAGTATTCGTTGAGACCGGTAATGGAAATCTGCCTTTTTCCTTGTTTGCAGTTTTCCAGAAGGTGGCGCCAGAGAGCTTAGAATCTGCTGCAGAGCTCGCTAAAGTGAATGAAAGCGGGCCTGCAGCTCGGGCAGTCGGGAGGAATGTCAGGGAGACTGGGCACTAACAACATTAGCCTTTTCATCTGTTCGGGGGTTCTCTGGGGTGTTTCTGAAACCCCTGAGACGTGCAGCTGTTAGAGAATCAAGATGAGGGGAGACACAAGAGATGTTTCAGAGGAGAGTAGACTGTTTAAAGGTGAGACTGGCTTCTGAGGATGGAGAGGTTTGAATAGTGGAAGGAAACAACCACCAACCAGCCTCACTCTGTAAGGATATGGATCTTTTTATGAAATTGCCCAGAGATCTCATCATGCATTACCTAAATATTTTGTCTATAACAAAGGGGAGGATGCATAGGGCCCACAAAAACCGTAAGACAGTGAATGACATCACCTGCAGGTGGTTCTCTGCTTGAGGCAAAACAAGAAAAATAGAGAAGAAACCTTAAAAAAAATCACTTAATTCCAAACCTTTATTTGTTTATTTATTTTGGTCAAATGACATTAAAGTTTGTCCTCTAAAGCTGCTACCAGCAAAATCACAGGTGACCTCTCACCATTAGCCCTCCCTGCCTTTCAGTTGAGAGCAGGGGCCAAATGCAGCTCATAGCAGGGCTGCTGTCAGCCCCAAATTTGGGCTCCTTGTGCTGTCAGGTTGATGTCAGCTTCCTTCCCTTCAGTTTTCTGGAGCCCTTTTAGGTTCAGTTTCCAAATCTGTAAATCAGTGCTTTCACTTGTGGCCTTGAGTCCTTGAGGATTTACCCAGTGGCCCAAAGTGAAGGCTCCCTCCTTCAGGTGCTTGTACTTCTCCCTGTTAAATGCATTTTAAATTTAGCATGGGTGAAAGATTTTAATTTAGAAAATGTGCTTATAAATGTCATCCAAATGATAGTGCCTTGAAGCCATATAAAAAATTTAGAGATCTTCAAGCCATCTCTTTCAGAAACAAACAGATCATTTAAAAAGTATCTCATTATAAGCTGTTGTGGTTTGCTCCAGCAAGTCCATATGTATATAGTTGCATTTAAAGCTCAGAGTTGTATGTCCCTTGCTACTCAGAGAAAGCTATGCCTTTGCTAGTCAAAGTGTGGTCCATGGACCAGCAGCATGAACATCACCTGGGAACTTGTTAGACATGCACCATTTGGGGCCTCATCCCAGACCTACCATATCAGAACCCACATTTTATGAGTCCCCAGCTGTGTTGTATGACTTTAGCGTCTGAGCAATGAAGACCCATGAGACCCTTTTGAAGGTAATTCCATGAGCTAATGGGGAGGAC